AAACAAAGCATACCCATTCATTATGTCATGATAGAGGTAACAAAGTACTACATATACAGTGTGTAATTCCACTTTTACAGATTGTTTTTTAAATGTGCAAAGTAACTTTATAGGTGTACACACCATAAAGTTATAAAACATGGGCAGGAAGAATGCACATCAAATTCACTATAATGGTTGATCTAAGGAGGATGACAAGGGAAAGGGACCAAGGTGTCTCAAAGAAAAACTTTATCTGTAATTATTTTGTTTTTCAAAAAATATCTGAAGCAAATATGATATAAAGACTTAAATTTGTGAATACTAGGTAGTGGGTAAATAGGTATATTATTTCCTGGATATCTTTAATTTTTTTCCAAATAAAAAACTCATATTGGGAGAAAAAAATACTAGAAGCAGACTTGCTCTATTAAGCCCAGTTAATGCCATGTCTATTCCCTGGCACAAATTACATGATAATACTCAGCATTTTGTATATTTCATGCGTTTTAAGAATCTGGTTCTGTTCAAGACACATATTACAATTGCTTCACATGTGCACTCAAAGGAACTACATTCTAAACTACTCGTTCCAGCCAGTGTGGGAGGTGTTGGCAGAGGGAACATGGACACCTTCGGCCACTGACCACTGGTGCTATCTGCACCCCTACTTCAGTGTTCGGAAGGGAACACAACTGTGATTCCATTAAGTCGTTCCAGCAGTCCTGATTGGGAAACCAAGAAAAGCAACTTGGAATTTTTATTCTACAAGCCATTTATTAGGAGTCAACAGGAAGAGGTGCCAAACTTCTTACAGCAAATGAGGTGACTATCCCAGTGGGACACTGCCAAATAATGCCATTTGCACCCTTCAAACTCAAGGTCTCAGAGAAGATAGAAAAATCCTTACAGCCCCTCGGAGTTGCTTACTGAATTTGTCAGAGAAAGGCACTGATGTGTGACTGTGAAGCTATGAAGAGCAAGAGTACTGTACCCTGGGGCAGTCCTTGGCCACACAGGAGAAGAGGGCTCAAGGTTCTCAGCAGGGAGTGCCAGATCTTTCTTATAATCAGGTTCCAAACAGAATTTACTGTGAAGTGTGGGCTCTTAAGAGTTTTGCTTCTAAGAATTTAGGTGGCAAGGGCTATTGCTTTATAACTTCAGTAAATTGGCTGAAAGTCTACAGTATTAATGAAACTCTAGTAACCACTTGGCAGCAGCCATAGAATAAATTCAGTCTCAGTAACCCTTGGGTTATCCATGCCAATGTGTTAAAGCTGGCAGCAGATACAACGGTGCAAATAAATCAACAATCACTTCTTTTAATCTAGAGAATGTATTCTATTTAGGTGATCTGACTTTAATTTGCTGGCCAATCTTTTAAAATTATTATTTTTATTCAAAATTTCCTTTAAAAATTAATTTTCATGTTATGTTATAAATCCAAGGCTGGAGAAAAGAAGCAGTCCAATTGTGAGCTTGTTCTCAGAAGAAAACCATTCTGGGACTAAAAATCCAAAACCTACCAAGAGACATTGAAATGTGCCCATTCCTTACTCTGTCCCTCTTCAGGTAAAATTAATTATAACATAATTATACCTGATTCACGCAAGATTAATTTCCCCAAAAATGGAGGCATTGCCCAGGAAATTCTTGTCCATACTCTTAACAGCACACCACTCAAAGTGGTTTGTATTAGCCTTTAAATTTCAAACCTGGCTACAGATCTGGGATGGGAGGTGTCAGAGAACTTGCAGCTTGTGTGATGGTTAATTTTGGCTACCAACTTGATTGGGTGGAGAATCACCGAGGAAACTAGGAAAGCACACTTCTAGATGTGTCTGTGAGGGTGTTTCCAGAGATGACTGTGCAACAGCAAATTGAGTATGGAGACCCAATCTGAATGTGGGCAGCACCACTCACCATTCAAAAGGCTGTGCCTGCTGTGGGCCGAGCCAGAAGATGGTCCTTTGCCTCCTCCCTACTCCTTTTCTCTTCCATAGACTAGACAGTCTGTTTGACCAAGATTGTAGACCCTGGATGGCACAGTCCCAGGAGACAGTTATATTATGTATCCCTCTTCCTTGTTCCCTTTCTGTGCATGCCCGATCATGAGACAATCACGGTGTGTTCAGCCTAGGCCACGTAGCACTATTTACCTCACCTTCTCTTCCTGTTTGTCTTACACTATAAATAAAGAGCGAGCTGGACTCCAGGCAGCCATTAGCTCTCCACAGGCTACGGCTCCACCTGGTCCCAGCTTTCAAGCATAATCTTGTTGTTTTCATGTTTCTTCATTTCCCATCGCTCTCCCGGGCTTCTGACCCTATGCCATGAGGATCACGGCATGAGCCCTTTCTCTCTCTGCCCCCTGGCTGCCGGGATGTGAGAAGCTTTCCCCCAGCATGCCCTTCTGCCATATCACAGGCCCAAGAGCAATGGAACGAGTTGATCACATGGTAAAACCTCTGAGACTATGAGCCCAAATAACCTTTCCTCCTATAAGTCATTATTCCTAAGTATTCTGTTACAGCAAAGGAATTCTAACTAACACAGTTTGGGATATACTGTTAACTATAGCCCCAGCCATGAAGCAGTGATACACACAGAGTATTTTCTACTATCTGTCATTCGTGAGCCTTTTGTAATAACAACAGTGACCCATTAAAAACATCTATGTTGGGCTGGGGATTTAGCTCAGTGATTTAACTGCCTGCTGTGCAAGCTCAAGGACCCAAGTTCAATCCCCGGTACCAAAAAAACAAAACAAAAAACATCCTTCTTGACTTGCACATTATTTTTACTACTGTATTCTGAAGTTTTTAATGGTCATATATAATCTAAGTATTTTCTGTCACACTGAATCATTTTTAACATTTTTATAGCAATGTAATTTCTTTCTCATTGTTGCATTTGATCCTCTCTACACTACTGAGATAAACAAGAGCAGTCTTGATACTCCATTTTACAAAGAATGGAGGTTCAAAGGAATGAAATGGACCTCCCCAGGTAGAGTGGCAGAGATCATATTAGATCCAAGTCTTTGAACTTTTACACCAGGGTTGTCAGAGATGGCTACCAGATGGTCAAAGAAAGTTATTTTCCTATTTGCCCAGACAGGGATTAACTTCCAACAAATAGAAAAGAGTTGTGCTCCCTGTACTTTTGGAAAACTAATCACCTAGCTGTGATGCTCTACATGTGATCACTGAGGATAGATTAAAAATTGTAAATAGGAGGTAAAATAAATTAACAAGAAAACTGAAATACTGTAGTTTCTAAAAATGTATACCTAGAATACACATGGAACTTCAAAAAGAGTCTAAAACTTCACATTTTGACCACCTCAAGCCTTTGGTTAATTTATCTCCCACATACACCATTACCAGTACTCATGACTTCCCATAAAGCAGAAGTTTAATTAATTCTGTCCAAATTGTAAAAACTACTACTTAGACCTAAAATGAAAGAGACGAAAAAGAGAGGGCAAGGAAGAGGGAGAAGGAGGAGAGGGAAAAGAAGGAGGAGAGGGAAAAGAAGAAGGAGAGGAAGGGGGGTAGAGACAGAGACAAAGACAAAGACAGAGACAGAGAGGAGAAAAAGAAAAAAAATCAACCAACACTTCTTGGGGTAGATTTTTTTCTCTCTTTATGGGTCAAAATAATCAAGATATAATTTGAAAATAATAACATTTTGTGTATTTCAAAAATCATGTTTGTACTCAATCACTTGGTATTCCGGAACATTGGAATAAAAACCTATCTGGTTCTACATCTAACAGATTTTCATAGCTATTACACTTAATTCTTATTTGATAAGTTCTAAAAACAAAAGTACCTGTTCATTTTTAAAATCTAATATTTAACTATGGTGGCTTAATATTTATATTATAATCTCTGAATATAATGTATAATATGAAAGTATTTGTGTTCCTGGTCATAAGGGGAGTTTATTATTATATTAACAAATGAAAGAAGATGTGATGTACCTTAGAAATAGTAAATTGAACAGTTCAAGGTGGGATTTGAGAAAGTAAGACTTTTGATGCTCAAAGAAATCAATACTCGGTTTAGGAAATTATATATATTTTCTGTATGTAACACTACACACCATTAGTTACTGAAATACCCAGAAGGCTTCATGATAATGTGCATTCACTACCAACCACAGGCTTGGACCCTGAGGTGTGCCTTATGGCATGGTCACAGGTAACGACTTGTTGGGTAACTTTCTATGACTGGCACCTAGAAGTGATGCACCAGGCTATACCATAATAAAGATAACATTTTAAACAAATGAGCACTCACATACTTCACATAGCTTTTGATTCTTGTTTCATTCTTTAAGCACCTTACTTTAAAAATGCATGAAGCTATGAGAAAAACATATGTGGGAAGTATTACGGTATAACTGTAACCAGCACTGCAAAATGCAACTTTAAAAGTTAGATTTTTTTTTTTCCTTTGGAGTCAAGTGGCTTCCAAATTTCCTTAGGCCTTGGCCATAAATGGCTCTCCCACCATCCTCAGCCCAAAGGAAAGGACGGAATGAGGAGATCCTGGCACCAGGAGGTGAAGCCCAATTTTGTTCCTGTAGGCAAGGGAGGGAGAGGTCTGTGTCCAGGAAGTAATAGAAGTAGTCTGAAAATATCTATTACTTTGTATTCCCTCCTACACTATTCTTTGTTATAAAATACCCCAACACACCTATACAAGGTGAGATGGTGTTTGAGGCAAACAAGCCCCTCCATCTTCTCAGAGCTAGCTTTGAATAAGTCCTTTTTCCTTAAATATACGTCCTCCTTTGATTTGGTCAGCTACGAGCAGACAAACCTGAGCATTTGAACCTAATGTTAATAAAATGGTTAAGAGCAAAATTACTGAGTAAAAGAGCCATGAGTTAGAGTGCTAGTTCTTCCACGTCCTAGCTGTATGACCCAGAGGAAATTCTCTAATCTTACTGTGTCCCAATATTCTCTCCTATGTGTGAGAAAGGTTCCAGGATTCATTGGTTCCACTCACAAGCTCTAGAGACAGACTTCTAGGAATGAAATTCAGACTTCTAAGGATGAAATCCCAGTTCATAGGGACCTTCAGGAAATCTGGTAAACTCTTGGCGCTTCAATTTCCTCATCTGTAAGAATGGAGATGAGAGTAGTGCACACCTTATCTAGTGGTTGAGGAGTTAAGATTACTAATGCAAGGCAAAACACTGCCTGACAAACAGAAAGTCCCCTACATGTCAGATAGTCACAATGGACAACATTCTGGGAGATGAGGATAGCCTCACCAAACTGAGGTGAGATTAAAATGAAATAATATGAAATTACATATACTACTTCTCATATATTTTTAACTTCACATATTTTTTTGTTTTGTTTTGTTTGGTACCAGTGATTGAACTTGGGACCTTGCATTTGTGAGGCAGGCACAGGAACCACTGAGTTAAATCCCCGGCCCAACTTCACATATTTTTATTTAACCAAGCTACCTAATGAATATAAAACACAGAGCTCAGATGTGGTACATATAAGCATCCAATAATAGTAACTATTTACATTTTAATTACAGTACATATATTCGTATTAATTGTTGATATAAATTCCTCCTAAAATATTAAATTTTGTAACTGATTTTGAAATTTAAAACAATTTTATTTTCCTACTTTTGAATGTGCTTACCATTTATTTTATATATGACTGAACATGCATTTAGCTTGGGTACATCTAAATGGATTTGTTTCTGGATGTGGCCACAACATATAAGACTACTCAACTCAATAAATACCTTGACCAACAAGCACTACATGATTTGACTGAATTCTCACAAGAAGACTGTGAGATGTATAATAAATAAGCAGTCAGCAGAAAATAAATTCAACATTTTTTTATGTGGCTTATCTTCAAACTGATCTTTAAATTACTCAGGAGACTAATATCATATTTCAACATATTTGGTACTGTGAAGGCAGACAGCTTAAATGGTATTTATTTCAGTCACCATTTCCAAACTGTACCCAGCAGGAAAGTGAAAATATTTAACTTCAGCAAAAACAAAAGCAGCGTTTTAGGGGAAAGATATAGGAAAAGAGGACACTTAAACTGATTTGCCAAGGGAATTTCAATTTTAATGCTTATGAAGATATTTTTGAACTTCTTTTTCTGTGAGAAAAATCAACCATGTAAAAATGCTCAAGATTAAAGCTTATGCTCTTTCAAGAACACCACATTTGTTATTTGGTATTGAATACCCACTCCCACAACTACAGTTAATTAGACACTGGGATGAGATCTACTTGTTGCCTATCCATTGCACAGGCCATTCGTCCTTCCACAAAAATGGAACCTTGATGCTTATTACAAGCCTATATTTCACTGTGGTTTTCTTCATAATCAAAAATATCATGACAATAATGACCATCCACTGGCTATTTTATCCCTGCCAGGCACTATGGCTAAGTCATATTCACCTTCATTTCATTTCCACAATTCAATAAGAAGAACACATTATCCTGCTATACTGGTGAGGAAACTGGGTCCTAGAGAATTAGGAACACAGACGATTAAGGTGAAATTTAAGTTAAGCCCTAAATCACATAGCTTGCAAATGGTGAGTGTCAAATCACACTGGACTTTTTTTCCTCAAGAGCATGTGAAATATTTAAACTTACCACTTTCTCCTCTTGAAAACAATTGATCCACTTGTTCAATATTTACAATACCTCCCCACTCTGGTGCTATGAGAAGTAAAAGAAAGATCAGAACCATCACAGACTTCATGGTCAAGTCAAAAGGATCATGAAACAAAGTTAATTAAAAAATAGGTAATCAAGGCTGGGTGTAGTGGCACATGCCTGCAATCCCAGCACTCTGGGAGACTGTGGCAGGAGAACTGCAAGTTCCAGTCCAGCCTGAGCAACTTAGCAAGACTTTGTCTCAAAATAAACAAACAAACAAATAAATAAATAAATTTATTTATTTATTTATATTTTAAAAAGGGCTGGGGATGTAGTTCGGTAGGAAAAACGCTCGGTTCAATCTCCAGGACTACAAAAAAAGGGAAATCAATCAAATAAGTTCTGATTTAGAAGGTGCCAGATAACAACCTTTAAAAAATAAGAGGATTTTTAAGAGTTACAACCCCTAACCCTGTTAACCAAACAAATCTTTGTGAGCTTTTCTTCCTTAAGCATTCAGTCTGGCCAAACCTCTGACTGCTCATAGCTCATAGCTTTTTTTGTGCCTCATTATCAGTTCTTGCTATGAACTATAAATATTTGTGTGTGTGTGCGTGTGTGTGTCTGTGTTACATGCCTTGTCAGACTGAAAGATTTTTAATGACAAGGGTAATTAACTCACTCACGCTAAAAAGGGTTGAAAAAACAATACTTCATCTAATTTCCCAAGGTGACTGTATGTTGCATAAAGGTGATGTCTGATGCATGTTTAACATGGAGTGAGTAAATAAAAATGTACAGTGGAGCCATTTTTGAGATTCAGAATAGGTTCCACATCAATATTTAACTCAAACTCAGAAAACACTTATAGATGCCAGACTCCTTCATATTCACACTGGTAGACTCAATATTTCTAAGAAGACAATTCTCCTCAAATTGATTTACAGATTCAATTCAGTCTCTATCAAAATCATGACAGCCTTTTTTTGTAGAAATTTACAAGCTGATTCATTAGTCTATATGGAAACACAAAACACCTAATAGGTAAAAACAATTCTGGAAAAAAGATCAAAGTGAAAGACTGACACTACCAGATTTAAAATCTTACTACGAAACCAAAGTAATCAAGATTAAGTGTAGTACTTATGTAAGGATAGACTTATAGTTACTGAAACATAATTGACAGTCCAGAAAGAGCTTTATATTTGTGATGAATTGAGTTTTGACAAAGGTGCCCAGGCAATTCAGTGGAGTAAGAATGGTTTTTCTGATAAATGGTGTTAAAATAACTGGGTATCCACACATTAAAAAAAAAAAAAAAACAACTTAAATCCTTATCCCACCCACAAAATTTGCTCAAAATGGATCACAGAGATAAATATAACAGCTAAAACCATGAGATTTCTAAGGGAAAATATCTGTGATGTACTGTATTAGACATTAAATATATTTCATTAAAATTATAAACTTTTGTTCTTCTAAAGACTCCATTAGGACAAAATTTTTAAAGCTAAAGACTGGAAGAAAACATTATGCTAGTTAACATGTGGAAAGACACTCATTTTCACTAGTTACTGTAGAAATATGAACAAGTCATTAGAATGTCTATAAGCAAAAAAACCTGACAAGACAAGGTATGAGCAAGGATACAGGAAAACTAGAACCCTCATACACTTTGGAAAACAGTTGGGAGGTTTCTTAAAACATTTAATGTAGATTTTCATATCACTTACCTATTCTCTTAAGAATCTTCCCAAGAAAAATGAAAATATACATCCATGTAATAGCTTATACATAAATATTCACAACAGTCCAACATCTGGAAAAATCCAAATGTTCCTCAATTTGTGAAAGGATAAACAAAAATGGTGTATCTATACAATAGTATATTGTTGGGGAAGAAAAAAGAATGAAGTACTGATACATGCTACAACATACATGCATCTCAAAAACATGCGGAATGAAATAAATCGGACACAAAAGAGTACACATTGTATGACTCCTTTCATATAAAATTTTCAGAAAAGACAAATCTAAGAGAAAAATAAAAGGGATGTGATTGTGTGAGGTTGAGGTGGCAGTGGAGACTGGATATAAACACGATGAGAGACTTTTTTGAGGTTATGGAAAAGCCTTAAAATGGATTATGGGAACTTTATACACAACTTCATAATTTACAAAAAATCACCAAATTGTATACTTTAAATGGATGAATGGACTTTATGGTAAGTAGCTTATCTTCAATACATTTTTAAAAGAAAATTTAACTTCCACGCACACAGACTGAGAGTGCTAAGTGTCTGTATCCCTCAGCACTGGGCAGTGACATTTTCAATCTTTTTCAACCAGATTGGTTTTTAAAAAAACACATCTCATTATTCTTAATAATGTACATCTTTGATTTCTAGGAAAGTTAAACATTTTCATCTACTTGAGTCTGTTATTTGTCCTATAATGGTATCTCCATCATTTCCATAAGGACATTGAGACTCTTTAAATTAGCAGAACCTGGGCCAGGGATTTAGCTCAGTGGTTCCAATGCCTGCCTTGTAAACACAGGGTCCCAAGTTCGATCCCCGGTATACATATATAAAAAAACCAAACAAATAAAATAGCAGAAACTTTTTAGTGCTATCTGATACAAATCTTTTCATACATTTAAAATTTTTAACTGTTTTCTTTGGCACACTTAAATACTCATTTTCATGTAGCCAAACTTAACTATATTTTTCTTTAAATTTCTGTCTTTCGTGTTATAACAAGTGATATATTTATAAACATCTATCTATCTATCTATCTATCTATCTATCTATCTATCTATCTATCTATCTATCTGTCTATCTCTATATCCGTCCTTCCTCCCCTCCGCCCCCACCCTTGAACCCAGGGAGCATGAGCTTTATCCTCAGCCCCTTTAGTTTCATTTTGAACTAAAATGAGTATTATCTTTTCTTCTATTTCACTCAACGCCCATTATGTAATATAGGAAACGACTTCATTTAAAATTAAGAAGATTATATTATTAAATGCTGTATCAGGCTGGCCTCAAATGTGCAATCTTCTTGCCTCAGCCTCCTGAGTAGCTGGGATTACAGCTACATGTGCCCCTATGTTCAGCTAATCAGTGATACTGTTTTTAAAGATTGATTATGAGAAACCTTGAGTATTGTTAACTAAGCATCCTCTATGCCAAGCCTAATGCTACTGGCTTTTCTATCTGAGGAAAACAAGTTCAATTAAAAATTTGAAGCCTAGGGGTAGACAGACTTTTCTTCCTTAAGCCTCTAAATGGAAAGAGACATTACTGTTTAACAAATTCATGGAAAATGCCTCATTAGAGAATATCTGATGACATAAGATACATTAGTTCTAAGAATAAGAAATGGAAAAATAAAGAACATGTAAAAATGTGTTTGCTTTTGTTAATCATGCCAGGACCGTGATTCTAGGCCTTGCTGGCTGATATCTCTTTGTACAACATCCGATCATCACATAATGACAGGACCACAGCAGGCAGTTGTGGATGTTTGATCAGAACAGTCTAGAATTCACTCATTGTCCCATCACCTGAGGCCACGAATGTTTTCTTTTCCCCTACTTCATTCATTCATTCATTCAAACATTATGTGTGAATAATAGGAAACTTAACTTCAAATGTTACAAATTCAGAAAGAGAATACTGTATTGCTTTGAAAATAATTCAGCAGTTATTAAAAAAAATCCTATTAGGTTTAATGTAGCTGTGACTATCAAACAGAAATATATACACAAAAGTTTTAAAAATGTCATAAGAACATTTTATATTCATATGATGAGATTATGGCCTTGAAGTTGTACAATTAAGGCCTATGCATGTTCAGAAGAGGCATTCAAATGCCTGATAGGAGAATGTCTGATTTCATGTTTGTATATTTGAGTCCTATCCAAATATTCAAGATCAGCTCAAATGCAATCTCACTTCTTTATCCTATATATATAGCCTTTGGAATATGTAGCTATACGTTCTGGAACATGTAACAGCCTAAACATTTTTCAATTCTTTTGTATCTGCTAGTCTTAACACCTCATTGAATTAAATAAAAATTCCAAAAGAACAAACTGTGTGACCCCACAGCATTAAAACAGTACTAGGATTCTAGATGTTTTCACTGACTTTTTAGTACCACTTCTTGCTTTGCAAAACACCTTAGAAGTTCACTGTTGATTTCTTGATTTCTAGGAAAAGAGGAAAAAACGAGCTAAAATGGGCAAAGGGCATTGTTAAAGCTTACTATAATGTACAACAGGGAGTTATTTAATCAAGGAAAATATTATGGAATAGTATATAAATGTTTTGGCAGTTACCCCAGCTTTACAGATCTCCAAGAGCTATGTATGGATTGTCTCCAGTTTTTTAGGGTTTTTTTTCTCACCTAGATGGTCTTTTTCTGATGACAATGGTTCCTAATGTGAGTTCATGCAAACGTTATGATTTCACGAGGCAGCTCTAGGGTTTCACAGATGGAATAGCCATAACCATGTTTCATTTGTGGCTACTCCTGCCTAAGTATCAACCCAGGTCTTTGGGCTCCACACATACCTAAAAAGCCTTTGAATTAATCAAGGAGAGATTTTCCCGTCTCTAAAGAACATTCAGATGTCTTGAAGGGTCACACACATGTGCTTGTACAAAGGTGTGTCATCAGTGCCAGGACTCTTGGCTAGCTCATTCCTGTGAATTCCCTAGTTTCCAAGCAAATAAAACGATAATCAAAAGCCAGTGACTCTAATAGCTCGTCTCCCCTTCTGTCTCCTTGAAAGAGAGGGACAGTGACAGAAAGCAGGATTGTTGGTTTTATCAGCTCTGGGGCTTGAACAATAACCAAGTCGAAGTCCACTACACATAAAAGCTATACATCTAACCTGCTGCTTATCGAAACATTTGTTAATTCATCAACTCACACAGTGACGTGACCCATTTTAATGATTAATTAGTTCATTCGATTCTACAAGAATCTCCAACCCACCATTAATCCTCAGAGAAAATGCTGAAAACGGTGATGTCATTTGAACACCCTCATTCTAGTGCAAGAGTATTATGAAGACAATATTGTCATAAAAATTAGCTTAAATAACGAATGTCAAGTATCAGCATTCTTAAAATACCATACAATCCAGAGGTCAGTCTGGATTTTCCTAAGTAAATGAAGGTTGAGAAGGACTTCCCACTCTACAGCATCTGATTCAACCTTTGCTATTAGCTACCGGTTGGTGTCCAACAGCACGGATGGTGGAACCAAGTCTTTAAAACCTGATTCAATGAGATAACACCTGCTCAACACGTGTAAGGATTAAGAGAGACAATGCAAGCAACTGCACAGGATGAGGAACACAGTATGTGCACATCATAAAGCAAAAGCCTCTGAATTGTTAAAACTTTAGTATTTTAAAATAACGTAGTCTCTCTTGCACACACCAATCAGTCCGCCGTCTTTATCAGAGAGAGTGGGATATTACTCGGGATTTTACTTCAAATGGAACAGACGCTCTGGTTGGCCTGCAGACCACGGGGGCAGAAGGCGCCAAGTATTTTCTTACCCACGGGAAGGGAGACAGTGCCGACTCGCAGCCCGGCCCGGGGGAGACCTGCGGCCCCGAGAAGGTCCCGGCTGGCGGGGCGGAGGGGGGACCCACACGGGCCCGACTGAGCGGCTCCTCACCCCGGTCCGCGCGGCGCGCGGTGTAGACGGGTTGTCCCCGCCTCGGCGCCAGCCGCTCGGGTTTGGGATTCGGTGTCCCCCTGTCGCCAATCCTGGGCATTCTGTCCAAGCCCGAGTTCGCCCAGGGACTCCCACAGCGGAGCGCGCGGGCGCCAAGGGGCCAAGGGGAGGGGGAAGAGGAAGGAAGAGGGAGCCACGGAGACGGAGATGAAGTGACGGGGAGAGGGGGAGACGGGGAGAGGAGGAGACGGGGGGAGGGGGACACAGGGAGAGACCCGCAACAGGCGGCCGCGCTAGACCCCGCGGGCTGGCACCGCAAGCCCGTCCCGAGGTCAGGGTTTGCTCTGAGCACCACCAAGCGCCCCAAAACATCCTCTGAGGAAAGGCTTACCTTTCTCTTCGGCATAATGACCGTCGGGTAGGCGGAAAGTACAGCGACCGGCTCGGACTGTGGGCTCCTGGATGCCACCTAGCCGCGCCACTGCTCCCACGCAGGGCCGCCGTCGCCCCGCCTCCGCGGCTTCCAATCAGGACCCCCGCCAGCCAGTTGCGACTCTCCATTGGTTAAGGCGGCCTTCTAAATTCCGCGAGGGCACTCCCACCACCGCGCGCCCCGGGACGCGCTGCTGGAGTTTCCACTTCGCTGAGAAATCTCCCTGGCTACTGAGCATGCCCAGTTCTACCGAAGCCTTGGGCCGCGCACTCCTGGAGTTGCATTGTTTTACCGCTCCTTTTTGGAATGATCTCCATCAGACAAGTGTGTACCTTTATGGGAAGGAAAAAGAGTAAGGGTGGACAATTACGCATAAAATCCCGTGTGTTGGATGAAGAAGGTCTGTGAAGGAAGGAAGGTGCTTTCTTCTGGAAGAGTATGGCAGTCTCTAAGAGTCTGGGTTTTCTCCTCTCAAAGTCTAGTGATAACAGTCCCTAAAATTGCTTAGCTCTAATGTTCTAAAATCTCACCTTTAAGTGAGGTGTGAAAATGAATAGAGTTGGGGCTGGGGATTTAGCTCAGTGGTTTCACCGCCTGCTTCACAAGCACAAGGTCCCGAGTTCGATCCGCGGTACCAAAAAAAAAAAAAAAATGAGTAGAGCAAATTTCTTATGGAAACTAGGGGAAAAATGAACAAGAACAGTTTATTTAATATTTCAAATATATATTTAAATGATCCTGTCTTGTCACTTTTGTGCATAATTTATTGTTTTTCAAAGTTCTGCATTGCAAAAACACGTCTGAATTTACAAGACCAGTTTTACCCTGATACTGAAACCAGTGAAAGACCTGAAAAGAGAATTACAGATCAATATCCCTCTTAAACAGACACAAAAGTAGTGAACAGATGTTAGTAAATCAAATGCCATACCTCTTAAAAAGATAATACATGACCAGTGGAGTTTATCCTCAGAATGCAGAATTGCTTTAATATCTGAAAATCAACCAATATAATTCACCATGTAAATGAAATAAAGGAAAAAATGTTTCAGCAGATGCAGGAAAAGTGCTAGTGAATGAGTAAGCAAATTGTGATAAGAATACTACTCAACAATAAAAGAAAGGGAAATATTCCTACATGAGTAAATAACAAAAGCAAAATGTGACATAAATGAAATAAAATACAAAAGATTAGATTATACTGAGTGATTTCATTCTTAGGAAATTATAGAAAAAGCAAAATTAGACAAGGTTAGCTTCAGAATCATCTTAGAGGGCAAAAGTTCACGTCATAGGAAAATGCATTGAAGCTGTACACTACTAAGATGAGCAAATGCACTTTGGTCACACAGAGGCTGTAAATATACATTAAACAATATCAGGCAATTTTAATATTTTGCTTTTTTCTTCAATAATTTTAAGAATAAATGAATGATGTCCTTGAAAACTCTAACATGGTCAATGGCTTTTATTTTTTGGAATATTACAAACTCATGGTATGTTCCAGTCTTTTGCTAAAATTTTTATTTATCATTATCATTTTACTTATTTATCACATTTGTTATTGTTAACTTTTAAGGTGGTGAGATAAAACATAAAAGTTACCATTTTAACCATTTTTAAGCGTATAGTTCAGTGACAATAACTACATTCCATTGTTGTGCACCGTCACCTCTGTTCGTCCCCAGAACTTTTTCATCATCCCAGACTCAAACTCTGCACCCCTTAAACAGTAACCCTCCCTTCCCCTAGCTCCTGGAAGCCACCGTTCCACTTTCCATCTTTTATGATTTGACTATTTCAGGAACTTCATCTAAGCAAAGCCATACAATGCTGTCGTTTTGTGTCTGGCTACTTTCATTTAACTCTCAATAAAAATACACCTTAAGGGGCTGCGGGTTTAGCTCAGTGGTTTTGCCGCCTACTGCGCAAGTGCAAGGACCCGAGTTCAATCCCTAGTACCAAAAAAAAAAAAAAAATACACCCTGAGGTCATCCCTGTTATACCTGTGTCAGGATCTCCTCCCTTTTAAGGCTGAAGGCTGTAGCACTGTGTGTATTTGCTACCTTTTGTCTACCCATCCATCTAGTGATGGGGACTGGGCTTGCTTTCCCATCTTGGTTATTGCAGATAATGCCGCTATGAACATAGGGATCCAAATACCTCTTTTTGACTCTACTTTCAATTCTTTTGGCTATTTATCCAGAAGTAGAGTTGTATTTTTAATTTTTTGAGAAGCCACCATACTGGCTGCTATAGGGGTTGTATCATTTTATATTCCCATCAACAGAATACAGCTGTTCTAGTTTCTCCACATGTTCACCAACACTTGTGATTTTCTGCTTTTTTATGCAAGTAAATACCTTTATTAAGGGTTATTTACAGAGTGGTGATTGGCTTGTGGGCTACAGCAACCCACCACCTACCAAAGGACCTGTGTATATAGGGCTCTAAGTTATAAAGCAAAGGGCAAAAGCAAGGACCAGAATCCATGGGGAAAATTGTGTGCTATGCACATTGCATTCTCATCCTGTTGAGAATTCTACTGATCTCAGCAAACACTGTTAAGGCTCTGTTTTGCTATCATCTGGTGCACAGCCTCATCACTTGGCGAGGACCCCAACTATGGACGGCTAAATGGTGACCTATTGTAGATGGTGTCGTAGCTAGGGCTCAGAGGACTACTGTCCCTACACCTCTGCTGGAAAAATGGACAGTAAGTTAGGGACACTTCAGATGTACTCCTGGTGCCTATAATAAAATCTGAAGTCCACATGAAAAGAAATAAAGTACAAGCTAAAGGAAATACTCTACCCATATGGAATAATTACAATAGGTAAGGTAATTGGTAGATTGATAGTCAGCAGGTTTTGCCCTAGAATCAAATTATGATCCCTGTCTAGGGCTGGAGTTGTAGCTCAGTTGAAAAGCACTTGCCTAGAATAGACAAGGTTCTGGTTTTGATACCAGCGTGGTAGAAAAAAAAATCTTGATCTGAATATTACTATTTTTCATATTTCCTTGCTTCTAGTCATTCCTATTTTTTCTATAGACTGTCTGTTGTCATCCACAAAAATGATGTTTTCATTAATTTTTTACTAGTTATGAGTTTCTATATTTTTTCTGTTTTACATGCAGTGATTTATTTATTCATTCTGGTACCAGGGGTCAAACTCAGGACCTTGAGCTTGTGAAGCAGCCGTGGTGCTACCATACTCAGTGGTGCCACTGAGCTAAATCCCCTGCCTGTGCAGTGATTTATTTAAACTTCACAACATTCCATGAAGTTGGTACACTTATGAAATAATATTTTTTTTTGCACATTATACTTTGCTTTATTTGGTCATCCCACCAACTTCAACTGACTGATTTCTTTGTTTTTTCAGTTTTCTATTTTTCATTATTATTTTTAATCCTCATATTTCCCTACTTTAGTCAAAGTAGTGTCTATGTCCTTTTGACCTGATCCCAGTTGTCTTTTTTTTTTAAATTTTTTGAGACAGCCTTCCCCCTTTGGTAATCCAGGCTAGCCTAGAATTTACTATGTAGCTCAGGGCAGCCTTGAACTGGTAATCTTCCTGCCTCAGCCTCCTGAGTGTTGGAGTTGCAGAAATGGGCCACCACAGCTAGCTTCCAAATTGTCTCTGATATATTCCTTGCTCTGAGGCATTTAGTGAATAACTGTATACTGTATTAAAAAGAACTAAGATAAAACCAGTTCATTGGTATTGAACTACATAAAAAAGTAGAGACTTTACCATTAAAATAATATTTGTAATGAAGATATCTTGGAAGAGTGTTATTAATTTGCCAAGTGCTTGATAGTTTAAAAAAGCCAGGGGAGAGATTTTTAAATAAGATGTGTGGGAAAGATGTTGAGAAGCACTTGAAATCCACATTGAATTGTTTTTCTTTATGGAGATTTAAAGGTGACAGCAACGTCAGGGATAAGTTGAATTTTCATTGCTCTGAGATGAAAAATGACTCAAAAAGGTGACTTTTCAGTTGATATTTTCCAAGGCCAAATGTTCAATTAATAATAGCAAACAAAGGCCGGGGATTTAGCTCAGTGGTGCTGTGCCTTGCAAGCGCAAGGTCCTGAGTTCAACCAGTGGTACCAAAAACAAACAAAGAAGAAAACCAAAACCAAAACCAATAGCAACCAAAATTGTGATTATTTTTACTACACATAATAAAATGCTTGCAATGCAATTGAAGCTTCTTAGCAGAATAAAGACAGTTGATTTTGAGGAAACTTGAACACACTTCTTTTCCATTTCCATTCCCTTCCTGCTCCTTTTCTACTCACAGATGTTGGAGTCCTACACCTACTCCAGCATTTTTCAAACAGTGATGCAAAACCATTTACAATGTCATGACTATTACTGAGGAAAGGAAAGAGAAAGAAGTAGAGAAAGAGATGTGGCAAGACAAGGGAAAAGAGAAAGAAAAAGGCCGAGCATAAAAAGTATCACAGTGCACCTCACATGGTAGAGGTAAGTAGCATATTACACAAGGATTATTTCCATTTCCATTTGTGTGCACATAAGCACACACGGTATGCATGTGAGGCATATAAATGTGTGTGCGCATGTGTGTGTGTGTGTGTGTGTGTGTGTGTGTGCGTGCTGGGTTGGGATGTGAAATGTAGTTTTACTACTGGTCTTGATGAAAAAAATTTAAAGCTTCTACACAGTCCTAATGAACCTTGTAGATCTTTGGGGCTCCAGCAATTTGTCCCTCTGTAATTGTAAGTAATTGCAAGTGCTTAATCTTCAAATCTTGAAAGTTTAAAAAGAAAAGCATTTTGCAAATCATCTCCCCCCTCATTTGTCCCTCCCTCCCCGTTAAGGGAGGCACAGACAGACTTTGGCTCTAAATAATGGCAACTTGCTGGAGAAGTCAGATCTAGAATTTGTTGCTTCTGATAGCTTTATAGTTCTAGGTTCTAGGGTGCCTGTTTTCCCCTTAAACTTCTCCTGGCCTGGAAGTGGTGCTTCCGCCACTCGACACAGGCAGGCATGACTTTTCGACCTCATCTTCAACATACCAAAATCCACTCCAGTAGGTATCTGATAAAGCTACTTACACTTAGTTTGACTGATTTCTAATTGTTATTGTATTATATAAGCTAACTGTAAGAATAATTTATAAGTTAAAATGAAAACTATCCTACCTATATATATGAATATA